TCATTCATGTCCCTGCAAAGACTATGAACTCCTTCTTTTTTATGGCTGCATAGTATTCCATGGTGTACATGTGCCACACTTTCTTTATCCAGTCTATGATTGATGGGCATTTTGGTTGGTTGCAAGTCTTTGCTATTGTGAATAGTGCTGCAACAAACATATGTGTGCATGTGTCTTTATAGTAGAATGATTTATAATCGTTTGGGTGTATACCCAGTAATGGGATTGCTGGATCAAATAGTATTTTTGGTTCTAGATCCTTGAGGAATCACCACACTGTCTTCCACAATGGTTGAACTAATTTACACTCCTACCAATAGTGTAAAAGTGTTCCTATTTCTCCACATCCTCTCCAGCATCTGTTATTTCCTGGCTTTTTAATGATTGCCATTCCAACTGGCATGAGATGGTATCTCATTGTGGTTTTGATTTGCATTTCTCTAATGATCAGTGATGATGAGCTTTTTTTCATGTTTGTTGGCTGCATAAATGTCTTCTTTTGAGAAGTGTCTGCTCATGTCCTTTGCCCACTTTTTGATGGGGTTGTTTGGTTTTTTTCTCGTAAATTCGTTTAAGTTTCTTGTAGATTCTGGATATTAGTCCTTGGTCAGATGGACAGATTGCAAAAATGTTCTCACATTCTGTAGGTTGCCTGTTCACTCTGAAGATAGTTTCTTTTGCTGTGCAGAAGCTCTTTAGTTTAATTAGATCCCATTTGTCAATGTTGGCTTTTGTTGCCATTGCTTTTGGTGTTTTAGTCATGAAGTATTTGCCCATGCCTGTGTTTTGAATGGTACTGCCTAGGTTTTCTTCTAGGGTTTTTATGGTTTTAGGTTTTACATTTAAGTCTTTAATCCATTGTCTTTCTTACTCATAATTTTCAGTTTTCCTTTTTTCCATGTACAGAAAATGAAACATTTATTGTGAAGCTTTTAGGTCCAAGAAACTCTGTCTGTTTTTGTTTTATTAAGGAAAGGGCTGATGATCTTGGCATAGAGCAAGTCCAATAGGATTTTAAGAGATCTTATCTTAACAGGAAAGCACTGGAAGTCTTCAATGACTTCCACGTCCAGTAAAACGTGTCTCTGAGGTTATATTGTTCACAAAGCTGCTTCAGTTTTTCCCAACCATCCGCCCTGAATTTGATCTCTTTGACTGAGTTCTGCCGTCAGATACATCCCCTAGTGACCTGTTCTGGGGATGCACTTCATTGCTGTTTTGGCAATGTCATTTCAGGTTTTTCATCCTCCTGAGTGACGAGAGGAGGTCCAGCCAGCCCTTCCAGCACCTTTGCAAGCCATTCATGTGTTGAATGGAGTCTCATTTAACCACTGAACAATTATCATGTCTTTCTCTACTCAGATCCATTTATTCACCAGTGCTCCATAGAGGTACTGTGTGCATAGTTTTTGGTTTTGAAGGTGGGGAACTTCTGTTCTAACATGCACATACAGAATAATAAATTTGATGTCTTGGTCACACACTTCAGCTAAAATCAGAATTTTATTCTGTCCAGACAAGATTAATAAGATGTATAACCTCTTGCTTGTTGCTGTGCTAACTGACATAGCTGATGGTTTGAATAATTTAAGCCAATCCTACAGTCTGATACACCTGTAGCATGTATCTGTGAAGAGCTGACCCCGGGTGCAGGATAGTGTTCATGCAGATGAGTGTGTCTGTAAGTGCAGTGTGGGGGACACATCTCTGTCCTGTGCATAACTCAGTTTCAGTATCAGCTGCTGCCACCTTGAGCTGGTTCCCAGCAGGATTAGTCTTTGAGATGGGCCCCGAAGGACAGGGTGGGATGAATACTCAGGGAATCAAGGCAGAGGCTACTTTGGGAGTGTGAATGTCATACTGCTGGGTCGTGGAAGAGTTTGAAGCATGGTGTCAATTATGAGAGGTATTTTAAGAAGATCTTTAGAGAGTGGTGTTTGGGATCGGTTTGGTTGTGTTGGGGATGCTGGAGAAGGGACGAGTGAAAAAGTTGTATCAGTATCACAGATGATTAGCAGTCAGTAAACTTGTGAAATTGGTCATTTCTTTTTGTTTTATTTTGTTTTGCGATAGGGTCTTGCTCTGTTGCCCAGGATGGGGTGCAGTGGTGCGATCTTAGCTCACTGCAACCACCGCCTCCTGGGTTCAAGCGATTCTCATACCTCAGCCTCCCATGTTGCTAGAACTACAGGCGTGTGCCATCAAGCCCAGTTAAGTTTTGGATTTTTTGTGACCTGCCCACCTCAGCCTCCCAAAGTGCTGGGATTTTAGGCGTGAGCCATCACGCCTGGCCTAGTTGGATCATTTCTTGAGGTGTGGTGACTTGTGGCAGATTAGGCCCAGGTCGTTATCTGGTTAACCATGGAATAGGTGGTGTGGAGGGAGGAAGCAGAGATGCTGTGGTTAAGCCTGCAGCAGAATCTTCAGGCCAGCATTTGTCTGTGCCCTCTCTGCTGTGCCAGACATGGGCTTCTACAGGGAGAACTAGCAGTATCCGATCCTTAGTAGGCTCTCAGTACGGCTGGTGGGTGGATAGCAAGGGAGCGGATGAACAGACAGCATCTTCTGCTTGCAGGATCTTTGAGGGAAACACTGACTTTTTTTCTTTTCCTATATAGAAGAAAGGAATGTATTTTTCTTTTCCTGCATAGAAGAAAATTTTCGTTTTCAGTTTTTGTTCTTTTGAAGTGTAACATTGCAGTCAAATGTGTAGCCCTGTGAAGTGACAGATAAAAATTTTAAGGACTCAAAGGATGTTGACAATTTTCTAAGTAGTAGATGACTTATTTAAGTGTTTTTTCTCTGTCTAAAACATGTTCCATGATCATTTCAGTTGCTTCAGAGTTGCCAGTGGTTTGCAAAACATCCACGTAAAAGCCATTCACACACGGTGGTTTATTTCCTCATGCAAAATCCTCGTAAGTTTCCATGTGAGTTTGCGAGGGCTGCTGGAACAAAGTACCACAAACGCAGTGGCTGAAAACAACGGAAATTGAGTCTCTCTCTTCTTTTCTTAGAGAGATACTGATCATGTTAGGTTTAGGGCCCTCCCTATTCCAATATAACTGCATTTTAATTAATCACATCTGTAACAGTTCCATTTCCAAATAAAGTCACCTTTGAGGTACTGAGATTATGACTTTATCTTTTTGGGGGATATCTTAGTCTGTGATGAATACACATAAATTACACATTGGGTACTTTATTAAAAACAGAAATTCCCACAGCTCTGGAGGCTGAGAAGTCCAAGATCAAGGCACCGGCAGGTTCGGTTTTCTGGTGACCTGCTCTCTGCTTGTAAGATGGTGCCTTGATGCTGCATATTCCAGACGGAAGGAATGCTGTGTCCTTATAGGGCAGAAGGCGGAAGGGCTAGAGGGCTGCCTACTGCCTGCAGCCTCCTTTACAGAGTCCTTAACGCCATGTGGGAGGAGCCCTCATGGCCTAAATACCTCTTACTGCCACCACAGTGGCCACTAAGTTTCAGCATGTGGATTTTGGAGGGGAAGCTCCAAAGTCATCCAGGCAGCTTCCAAGGCCTGGACATTGGGGTATAGGAAGTTTCCTGGACATTGTCACTTTCCACTGGGCTGAACTTAAGTCACATGGCTACATCTGGCTGTGCTGGGGGCTGGGAAGAGTGCTCCTTATTCCAGGCTGCTATGCATCGGCTAAAAATTGGGAGTTTTGTTAACTACAGAAAACTGAGAGCAGATTTTGAGGAGAGCTGACCATTTTGCCACATCTACAAAATTTTGGATGAGGTAGGGGTGATGTAGGTGGTTTATTCCATTTCTAAACCACTGTAGCTTCTCTCATTGAATTATACCTACCATTTGAGGGGCAAAAGGAGTTTTCCCATATATTGTTGTGTTAGGTTTGTTATGGTTAGCAGCACTTTGTTTTATTCAGTTGCCTTGTATAGTTGCTAACTAGTGTGGAAACAGCAGGAAGTGAAAGGTTGGGCCATTCCTGCTGTCAAGGAGGGGATATTGACTAAGGAAAAATGTAAGTATAGGCCGAGCATGGTGCCTCACACCTCAGCACTTTGGGAGGCCGAGGTGGGCAGATTGCTCGAGGCCAGGAGTTGGATGGAGACCAGCCTGACCAACATGGTGAAACCCCATCTCTACTAAAAATACAAAAAATTAGCCGGGCATGGTGGCAGGTGCCTGTATTCCCAGTTACCGGGGAGGTTGAGGCAGGAGAATCACTTGAACCCGGGAGGCAGAGGTTACAGTGAGCCGAGATTGTGCTACTGCACTCCAGCCTGGAAGACAGAGTGAGGCTCCGTCTCAAAAAAAAAAAAAAAAAAGTGATTGTGAAAAGAAGCTTATAAAATATGTTTTAAGAGATAGAAATGTCATGAGGGCTTTTCTATTTTCATTTTTAGTTTTTAGAACAGGGACTTAAGTGACAGTGAATAAGTTATATGTCAATTTGACACGCATGAGGGAGGAGAAAGGCCAGTTGAATCTAAGTGACCAGCCTGAGTGAGGGCTGCTTTCACAGGCTCTGCCCTGTGTTTCCTGCCTACCCTTCTGGGCTAACTCACTTCCTGAAAGTTGGGAATGGCCTCGACTTTCGTGTTGCCAGCATCTAGCACGGGGCTTGGCACATGATGAGGATTCATGAAACATTCATCAGATCACTTCCAAGCAACTCCCATGTTCACCATTAGTATCACAAAAGTCCAGCAGTGGAAATGTGCAATCTCTAAATGTGCTCAACCTCGAAGCAGTATTCTCTGTTTATTTAGGAACCAGTATACTTGTTGAAAAAAAAAGACACAGACAGTGCCTAAAATTACAAAGATAGTTCATGGCCACAAACTCTTTATATGTTTATTAAATAAATAGCATATGCTGATGTGAACCGATACTTTAAATACGCTTGGTAAAATGATCTATCTGTATAAAGTTTTGTGTTGCAAATTCCATAGAAGCGATGACTTTTGTTTCTGTAATTTAAACAGTCTGTGTTTTTCTTACTTTCTCTAGAACTTTTTGCTACTTGATGAGATATCACAGCGCAACCGTCAGCTGCCGTCAGATGGTAAAAACGTGGTGCATGTGCAGGATTTTACTGCTTTTTGGGATAAGGTAACATATCCTTAACTGCAAGGTCATGTCTGCTAATACATAATGAGTGACGTTGGTTTAATAGAGCATTTTGAGATGTTACACATGGTATAAAAGTATGGCTTGCTCATTTACTAAAAGTATGTTACAAAGATTCTCAAAATTAGGAGTAAGTTTTGCAATAAATAGAAAGTAGGTATGAAATCAGACTTAGGGATTTGACAATTTGTATTTTATCTCATTTTCTTTCTTTTCATTGAGATGGAGTCTTGCTCTGCTGCTCAGGCTGGAGTACAGTGGCGTGATCTTGGCTCACTGCAACCTCCGCCTCCCAGGTTCAAGCAATTCTCCTGCCTTAGTCTCCCAAGTAGCTGGGATTACAGGCGCCTGCCACCACACCTGGGTAATTTTTGTATTTTTAGTAGGGACGGGGTTTCACCATGTTGGCCAGGCTGGTCTTGAACTCCTGACCTCGGGCAATCCGCCCACCTCCGCCTCCCAAAGTGCTGGGATTATAGGCCTGAGCCACCATGCCCAGCTGTATTTTATCTCATTTTCAAAAAAAACCCATTGAAAACATTACCTCATTCTAACCTAAATGTCACTAAGTTTAGGCATTGGCAGTATGGATTTTATAGGATTAGACAGACTGAGGTGCAGCATGGAGTGGGTTAACTGCTGAGTATGTTGTAAATTATTACAGAGACTTTGGGGTATCAGTGCACATTTTCACCTTACTGTTTTCAGGTCATCTTATTACATATTGAAAAAGCCCATGACTTGGATTTTGCCACAGGGTTGGGGTGGCAAATACCACCCTATTCTAAGCATCTGGGTGGTAAAGCTGCTTTGGTGGCAGCCTAAGGCAGAGGGCAAGCTGCAGGCCGTCCGAGCAAGCTCCATGGATTCCTGACTGAAGAGTTTCACCATGTGGCAAGCAGACAGGTAGTTCAGGCAAGGCCACAGGGATTTTCAACACTTGGTTTACTTGTGACATTTAGGCAAATAGAAACAGCAGCAGGGACCACCCACAAGAAGTACTAAGGCTGGTGCATCTCCTGCTATCCACAACTCCAGTGCCCTCCTCATGCTTCCAAGGAAGCAGCGGGCTCCCTGCCCAGTGCTCATAGAAGCCACCGCTGTGGCTGCGGCTTTTCAGGAAAAGAAAGGCTGTATTGTAAGTCACCTGGCAATGAGACAGGAGGCAGTGCTCAAATTTGTCTTCCCTCGCTGGGGGATGGGGCAGGTTTTATAGGCAGAGGATAATGAGGCATGGTCCGCTTGGATCTTGCAGTGAAGTGATGCCAGCACTGGATCTGATCAGATCCTGGATCATGCCATGAGGCATCCGCCTGTGAACTCGCTCCTCCTCCTTTGGTCCAGCACTCCGGTTCTGCCCATGGTTGCGTATTCGGCTCATCTGGGAATGCTCAGATGATATACCTTGCAACCTGGGATCCATGGCAACTGAGAAAGTTTACTATGTTATTGGGCTGGTTCTGTGGTTATGCTCACCTAAGTCCATGGTCCTCTGTGAATCCACTTGTTTCAGTCTGTGTTAGACTGGAAAACAGAACAGCATGGGAGAGGGAATGTTGTGCAGGGAATTCATTACATAGGTGTTGAAAGAACCAACACAGAGGGAGAGCAGCAGTGGAGGAGGCCACCCCAAGATCAGCCATGGCAGGAAGCTACACGCTGGGGCCAGAGATGATGCCTGCCAGGAGCGAAGCCCAGGGACCCAGCTGTGAGCAAGAATTGGGACCAGAGGGCCCGGGGCTCTTCCAAGGGCGCAGGGACTGCTCAGGCTGCTTCAAGCAGGTGGGCGGTGCTGGTGGTGAGCAGATCCTCTCCTCTCGGGTGCTCTTTGAGGCTGACCTTTGTGACTGAGTTATAGTGTAGTTTGCTGGAGCCAAGAGCCAACAGGTGGTTGAGCAGCACTCCCGCCCAGCCCTGTCGCCTCTGCCTTCTCCTGTGGTACCAATGTCAACACTCTAGACTCCAGACTTTCTTTCTCCACATGCCCTTGGCTCTAAGTATCACCCTCCCTGTTTCATGTGTGCCTAATTCTGATGTAATTTCTGCCATCTCTAGCAACAAAACAATGTGTTCCCAAATACATAGAACACCATTGCATCTTGTGCACATGGAAACTCACACAAGGTCCATCACCTGACCTGACAGTTTATCCTTACCTGCTGCCATTTCCACCCTAATACACTTCATTCATTCATTCCTTCACTTTGGAGACAGTGTCTCACTCTGTTGCCCAGACTGGAGTGCAGTAGTGTGATCTGGGCTCACTGCAACCTCCACCTCCCAGGTTCAAGCAATTCTCTTGCCTCAACCACCCAAGTACCTGGGATTACAGGCATGCTCCACCACGCCTGGCTAATTTTTGTATTTTTAGGAGAGGCAGGGTTTCTGCCATGTTGGCCAGGATAGTTTTGAATTTCTGGCCTCAAGTGATCTGCCCACCTTGACCTCCCAAAGTCCTGGGATTACAGGCATGAGCCACCGCGCCCAGATCTAATACGCTTTAAGCATTGACAGAAAGCTCTATGAACATCCCATTAGAAAAAAGCACTGGGGGTGAATGCTGTTGAATTAGAGGCAGGCACTGAGGTAGCCACCACACACTGTGTAGGTCCCATTTGCAAATTTCTTTTGTACCAAACTCTGCAACATTGTAAAATGGGCCGTTTGGTTGTTTTTCGTTTCTTAGACAACGTTGACAGCTGCATTGTAAACAGCACACTCCATCCTGTTTTCTGGGCCTTGTCTTGGGATGATTACACCCCATGCTGCCAGGGATTATTAGGGGGGTCATGTGGGTGAAGGCGCTTGGGTGGGAGGAGGGGCACAGACACTGGTGCTTTTGGGGAGACGCTGCAGAGGAAAGAGGGTGTGCTGGGCTGGGATTTAGGAGAAAGACAGAGACCCCAGCAGCAGCCCTGCTGGACAGACCAGCGGATATTGGAGGGAGGGTCTTCCCACCAGCCTAGGTCTCATTTATAAAACAAATGGGCTTGGGCTGAGTCTCTAAGCTATGAAGTCTGTGGCCCTGTAGGAGCCTGTGACCCTCCGTGGGGCAGGGATTTGTTTCTGCTTTCTTCACGGCTCTGTCCCAGGGTTCAGCGTAGGGTCCGGTCCAGAGTTGGGGCTCAGTCCACCTGCCTCAGTGTCCGGAAGGGGCTGAGCCTCCCGAGCTGTCGAGTGCTGCCCCCTTCTGGCTGCAGCGCACCAGTGCTGGGTCCCGGGCATCCCGGTGGGGCAGAAACCTGCTCTAAGGAGAACCGGGGCCGTGATGGGAAGCTGGGTTTTGCATGTGGCTCACTCTTTTGCAGTCAAAACTGAGTACAAAGAAGTAAAGTCAGAAATATTTGTTAGGAAGGAGACATACTGCAAAGGAGGGAGAAGGGACAGGTTGACCAGCTGTGCTTTTTGTGTCCTTTGTAATCACAGAAATAAACAGGTAGGTTTCAGTTGTCTTAAAAGACAAATGTTACTTAATCAGGCATGCAGAGTAGACCTTTTACATTTTAGAGGAAGAGCACCAAGTCAAGCAAGACTGAGAATTTGTGACAAGTTTGCACTTACAAAATCATGTAAATATGGTTTTTTTTTTTTAACATTTTGTTTAACATTATTTTTCCAAGTGCTTACGTAATAATGTATTACCTTTTTAAAAAGGAAATTGTTGTAGGCCTGTAGGAAGGAGTAGAGAAACAAAAACAGAAAGAGGTTCTCACATATGAAAAACTTCCTCTTGTTGATGGCTTTTAAATAACTCCTGTGAAATCTGGCACTAGTTTCTTTGTGCTAAAAAGTGATGGTGATTGTTTTGGTTTGTGATTATCCTATAATGTGGTGTGGGACACATTTATAAGGGGTCAGTTTACACACACACATATTTTGGCCTTTGACCATTTATAGAAATATTTGGGATTATTCGGGTATGTGACCGTTAAGTCATTTCCAGATAAATGTTTCATTTTGAAGCTTGTCTTGATCTGTTATTCCCCTGCTGTGCTTTCTGTCTTTTGGGCGTTTTACTAATCACACATGCCTGCTTGAGACATGGAGGGGGGTTGATGAGTACCTGTGTGTGGGCTGGGCCTGCTCAGTTCCTTAGGTTTTGGGTTGGTTGGCTTCATGTGTGCTTCCCTCTTGCATCATCCCAGGGTGTTCCGCCCTTCAGGGATGCTGGATTCATTTTCACAGAATGCTTTTCTAAGTTGAGGAGGCTGCCTTGCCTTTGATTCACTCTTGATAATTTTTCTATGATGTGGACAAGCATTTACCAAAGCGTGTTGTGTGGAAGAAAAGCCCCTTCTGAAAGGACTTGGGACTCAGATAAATTTGCTAAATGCCCGCCAGACACGCCTGGTCAGGTCTCTCCAATCTATCCGTGGGAAATTCAGATGAAGATGATCCATGTGAGAGTTAAACCGCTTTGGGTTTCCTCCCAAATTGTAGCTGTTTGTACTTCACTTAGCAGTATCAAGTTTTGTCTGATAGTTTTGATGTCTGGGTTTGGAAGAAGTTCTTATCGTTGGCAGTTTTTACAGTTGAGGTTCTATACTCTGAATTTAAAGCCATTTCTCTCTTTATTTGTACCAACTGACTTGCTTTTTAAAAGATGGAGATCTCAAAGCACTAATTGTCCTTGTATGAGAAGAGGCACCTCCTCATTTTGGTTTATCATGCACTGGTAAACTATCCCCTCTCCCTGATACACATGTAATCCTCTCAATTGAAAAGAATTAGAAGCTTTGTATAAAAGTAATGAATTTGGTTTGGTCTCCTAAAGAATAAACTATAGAATAACATTTTTTTTTTTTTTTAGACAAGGTCCCACTGTGTCATGCAGACTAGAGTGGAGTGGTGCAATCTTGGCTCACTGCAACCTCAACCTCCTGTGCTCAAGGAATCCTCCCACCCCATCCTCCTGAGCACACACCCGCCATGCCTGGCTGATTTTGTTTTTTTTTTTCTGAAGAGATGAGTTCTCGCTATATTGCCCTGGCTGGTCTTGCACTTCTAGGCTCAAGTGATCCTCCCACCTCTGCCTCCCAAAATGTTGGAATTATAGGCATGAGCCAGTCCACGTCATGTCTAAAACAACTTTTTTTTTTTTTTTTAACATTAACAGTGATTGATAATTTTCTTAACATTTAGTATATGTAAAAACATGCATATACTCCTGAATCTTTTTATCATAGAATTTATAGATTGTTTAGGAACATTATTTCTGATACCGTAATGAGTACTTCATTCCTTCCTCCCCTTGTTGGATTATACGCTGTGGTGGGTACCTCAGTGTTTATAGTAGAATGCTGTGCTGTTCCCTGTTTACCTGGGATAGGTAACGCAGGCTGCAGGTATAACGCTGAGACTTTCACTTTGACCCATGAACAAAGACTTAATTTCATTCTACACTTTTTGGTTGTTGTTAAATGAGATCTCTGGTTACAGGGTTGACCACCGTTTGTAGAAGTTCATTTGCCAAGAATGACTTTATAGTATAAAATGCCTTCTTGCTGGCTGGGCATAACTGAGGTTTATGCTTTATCAAGTGAAAACGGGAAGATTAGTGGAGATTTCAAGTCATCCATTAGCCAAGGATTGGGCATGCCATGTACTCATGCTGCCACCTTGTGGACATTAATGAAATAGAATATTAAAATCAAGGGACATAATGAAAACTTACGTATGATTGAAAAGCTCCCATACTAAATATTATATTAAGAACATTGTTTTAAATGAGAACACATGGACACAGGGAGAGGAACATCACACCCCGCGGCCTGTTGGCGGGTGAAGGGCAAGGGGAGGGAGAGCATTAGGACCAATACCTAATGCATGTAGGGCTTAAAATCTAGATGATGGGTTGACAGGTGCAGAAAACCACCATGGCACATGTATACTTATGTAACAAACCTGCACATTCTGCACATGTATCTTGGAACTTAAAGTGAAAAAAAAATAAAGAATATTGTTGTAGTAAGTTAGCATGAGTTTTCATTTCAAGAAGGTTGCCTTGTCATTTTTAGTATCTGAATTTTGTGGATGCCTGGAGCTGTGTTCACATGAAAATCTGGTAAAAGGGAACGGGCCTTAAGTACTGAGGATTCCCAACTGTTTCAAACCCCACAAAAAAAAAGTGACTGTATGAAAAGGACCCTAGGATGCAATATCGTAAAACAGGAAGGAGAAAGATTTGGGTTATGTTCATGCATCGATGACTATTGTATTGTTTTCTTCTCTTTTTGAAGTGATTTGTATGACTTTATTGAAATGGGCACATTTTATAAACTTTAATTTGTAGGCATCAGAGACCCCAACTCTGCAAGGCCTTTCCTTTACTGTCAGACCTGGTGAATTGTTAGCTGTGGTCGGCCCCGTGGGAGCAGGGAAGGTGAGTTATAATGGCTTTTGGCAGCTTGTTGCCAAAATCTAACTCCTTGGGTTTGAGCTCAAAGCTATGTGCAACAGAAGTTTGAATTGGGTATGCGTCGCACGGCATTTCTCAGTGCATGGAACGTTAGTTTTGCAAGAAGGTCACATGACCAAGTAAATGTGGGCAATGTGTAGCATGTTTCCCTTGGTTCTTCAAGTTGCATAATTGGGAACTCCCAGAAGTTGGACATCTCCATGAAGGAAATTGTTTATATGACCGCTATGCAGGATGGATTGAGACTAAGAAAGTGGGAACTTCTTTTGTCAGAGTGGACCCTAGATACTACAAGACATCTGGAGAGTGTGAAGGCTTGTCTGCAAAGCTTTCAACGTGTGTTGCTATGACTTCTCCAAGTCACATGAACACACATTTAACAAACCTGCAGCCAGTGTGTAGCCCTGTGTTAAGAGCAAAAGATAAACCTGTAAGCAAGACCCAGACGCCACTGCCCTCCAGAAGCTTCTGGTATCTTGGGTGAGACAGATATACAAACAGATGATTTCGGTTCAGTGTTGTAAGCTCTCTGATACTGGGGGGCATAGACACGTCACATCTATGTGTTGTAGAAGATGCGAAGGAAACGTGCATACTCACTTAGTCTCATGCGTTCTAAAGCAACACAGTAAATCTAGATGTAGGGTGTATAACCAAAGAGTGGTTTCACAATTGAAGTTTGCTCTCCAGAGACATGATTGTTGGGTAAAAAAAAAGTCCTTCCTAGTGCACAGGATTTATTATTTATTTTTATTCATTCATTCATTTATTCATGTATATATGGATGGATGTACATTTAGTTTTTGAGACAGGGTCTTGCTCTGTCACCCAGGCTGGAGTACAGTGGCGCGATCTAGGCTCACCACAACCTCCAGTTCCCCGGCTTCAAGTAATTCTCATGCCTCAACCTCCCAAGTTGCTGGGATTATAGGCGTGCCACCACACCCAGCTGATTTTTGTATTTTTAGTAGAGATGGGGTTTCACCATGTTGGCCAGGCTGGTCTCGAACTCCTGGCCTCAAGTGATTCAGCCACCTTGGCCTCCCAAAGTGCGGGGATTATAGGCGTGAGCCACTGGGCCTGGCCATGATATGTTATTTACATATAGCTTCTCTAGAACAAGGTTTTTGTCCGAAAGGATACCTGCGTGCAGGAACAATGCCTTCAGTATTGGCTATAGGAATGATATATCATGCTCGGCTGCTCCGTTACCGTCAACATTCTTAGTTGATCTTGGTTCCATGTAGCATTTCATTTAGGGGAATGAGACTCATTTAGGGAAAATCATTAGGGCAGGGTAGATTGTTACACTCCACTTTGTTAGTATTCCTTACAAATTACTAGTTTACATTGACCAATATGTTATTTCCAATTTTTAATCACAACTTCCTGTGCCGTACTAGATCCTATTTTAAATGAATCAAGTGATGCTTTTCAAGCTCCCAGCGCTGGGCAAGGCTGCACTGCAGTGGCTTGTTCTTGTCTCGTGTTGACTGAACATGTGTTTTTTTGCGATCTGTTTCAGTCATCACTGTTAAGTGCTGTGCTTGGGGAATTAGCCCCAAGTCACGGGCTGGTGAACGTGCGTGGAAGAATTGCCTATGTTTCTCAGCAGCCCTGGGTGTTCTCGGGAACTGTGAGGAGTAATATTTTATTTGGGAAGAAATACGAAAAGGAACGATATGAGAAAGTCATAAAGGCTTGTGCTCTGAAAAAGGTGAGTGATGACTTTTGGATTTCATGTACTCAAATGTCCAGTAATATTAGTGTTCATTTCAACAACGAGCTTTATTAACTTTTTAAATTAATTTTGAAAGACCTTTGATTTTTTTTGTTTGTTTGTTTAAGATGGCATTTTGCTCTTGTTGCCCAGGCTGGAGTGCAATGGCGTGATCTTGGCTCACCGCAACCTCTGCCTCCCAGGTTCAAGTGATTCTCCTGCCTCAGCCTCCCAAGTAGCTGGAATTACAGGCATCTGCTAGCACACCCAGCTAATTTTGTATTTTTAGTCGAGACGGAATTTCTCCATGTTGGTCTGGCTGGTCTTGAACTCCCGACCTCAGGTGACCCTCCTGCCTTGGCCTCCGGCAATGCTGGGAATACAGGTGTGAGCCACTGTGCCCAGTCCTTGAGTGTTATTTTATATTTTAAGGCAGTTCTCTCAGTAAATAAACACACACACTGTCGTTTTAAGTCTGATGTGAAAATGATATTTACAGGGTGAGTTTGGGGGGGGGTTGGTTGGTTTTGTGAAGTTTCATTTACTTTTAACATTTTTTGTTTTCAAAATAGACAATTACAAAAATTTGCAAAAGTAGAGAGAAAGGTGTTTTGAGCCTGCATATACCCATTCCTCAAGTTCAAGTGCGATCAACCTGTAGCCAGTTCTACTCAGTCTCCACCCCTGCCCTCTGCTAGTCCCACTCCCACCCCAGATTCTTCTGAGGCACACCCTCGACCTCAATTGTACCTCATTTGTGATACCTTATTACTTATCCCTAGAAGGTAAGAACACTTTTGAAAAAAAATTACATCTTACCCAGGAAATAAATGACCAAAATTCCCTGCTATCATCAGCTGGCTAGGCAGAGATGACAGTGCTTTAGCATCTCATTGCCTTTTGGTTTGCATCAGACTCCAGAAGACGTCTGCACAGTGCACTTTGCTGGGGTTTCCTGCCTGGGTCCCTCTCAGACCATAGGTTTCCTTCTTCACCACCTTTAAAAAGGAAACACTGTTGCAGTAGTTTCTGGGGTATGGGTGTTTTTTGGCTACATGGATACATTTTTCAGTGCAGTTTATTATTTAAAGGAAGCAAACTGTTTAAAGTTTTTTTTCATTGTGTATCGTTTCACCTAGAGAGTGATGGTTTTCACAAAAGATGAAATGTTTGATTGTCTACTGAGGTTTTCATAAAATTGGAGGGTAGTTGATGAAAACTGACCATACTTAATAGAAGACTGTAAGTTAGAAAATAGAAAAAATGGTAAATACTATGTTACCATCTTTGGACCATAAAAATCAGTGAATACTGGCACTAAAGGGCTCTCCCCGGGCTCTGTGCAGTGTGACCTGGACATCCTACTGTTCTTTTATACTGTCTGGAAAAAGGCCACCACAGACTGTCACAGTTGTGATGCAGAAGGCTTCCAGCCAGGTTTGCAAGGAATGAGTAATTTTGCTTGAACAATGGCGTGAATATCATAGATTCTATCAATCAGGTGAGTAGGAGTTGCTGGTGATTTGGACAGAAACATCATTGCTTGTTTAATGGGCTGTTTCTTCCTTCTGGGCTATTAATGAGTGATGATGCATTTTCAGAAGTCACATTAAATTAGCACTAATGAGCTAGATTTTTATTGAATAGTATATGCTGTATAGGAAAAGATAGGCTAAGGCAAGCTCCTAGTTACTCAGATTCCACCAGGTGTGAATGTTTTTTCTCTCACACACATATGCGCACACAAAGGCATATGAAGTTTTAATCTGTTGCCATGATTTCCCAGTGCCTTTGGTATTGCTATTCTCGTTTAATTTTTTGATATTGCTATCCTCGTTTTTTAAAGCAAAAGTTTCATTTTATTCAAAGTTGGTACAAAATTGCTAACATTTCCCTAAAATAATGGCTATACTTCAGCTTGTCCTGCTCTGGTGTCCCCTCACTGTCCCCTGCTTCCCCAGAGGTCCATTTTAGAGAAATTTTGCAGAATTACAAGGTCAAGGTAGGAGAATATACAAGGAGATTTCAGTGTGTTGCAGTGAGTGGAATATATACATATATAAAACGTTTTAGGGAGTTGAGAAACAGATGGCAAATTTTGCAAGTTTTCCCCGACTAGTAGTTACAGCTGATAACCAGGAAACTGCTGCTGGACCAGGTTCCGGAGATAGGAAAGACAGTGTGCCATTTGTCAGTGGAAGGGTGGCACCTGGCAACCTCGGCCTTGTCTTTCAGCTCTGGCCCTCCATCACTGATCTATGACAAGTTAGAAGTGAGGTCCTTGGGACTAATATATGGCTTTCTTGGGGAGGCTTTGTTGCTCTTTGCATATTAATCTGTCAGTTTAAAAATAACCTACTAGTAAACTCTAGAATTTAAGAATGATTTTTTCCATAGCAGACTATCATTTTAGGAGTTGAGTGTGGCTTAGGGTTGGTAAAGTGGAGGGTTGGAGAGATGAAATGAATCACCTAAGCATGTGCAGTTCAGGTTCAAATCCGTATCCGCCCAGCTCCCGATTCCATTTTCCCCTCTGCCAGGCTACCTCTCAGTTGAGGATGTTTATAAGGCAGAACTATTTTAAAAATTGGGTGATTGATAAAAAGGTAGAATGTGGGACGAAATGGTTTTCAGGCATTTTCATTTTACCTGTTCAGCTTCTGATACCCACGTGAGACTTCAGGTCCCAGGTCACCCAGCCCTGCCTTCCTCCTTCCAACGTCAGAAAAGCTCTCAGAGGAAGCGGGGGTTAGAGACAGTGGCTGCCATTCAGCCTCTTCCATAGCCACCTTCGAAGACTGGCCCAGTAACTCGGGTAGTGTCCCAGGCTTCGGCCACCTGAGGGCTTCTGTGTGGCAGGCAGACTCCAGTGGCGATGGGGTCCCATCAGGGCTGGGCTGCATGGTGACTCCTTGGTTCCTTCCTGGATGTGTGTAAGCACGAACTGCTGGCCCTCTGTGCATGGTTCCATCCATCTTCAGCAGGACGGTGGGCCTCCGGTGGAGAAGTTGAACGGAGCAGGAGGCTGATCCAGCTTTGTCATTTGCTCACTATCACTTTTTTGTGTGTTTGTTTTTGAGTTGGAGTCTCGCTCTGTCATCCAGGCCAGAGTCTAGCGGTGTGATATAAGCTCATTGCAACCTCTGCCTCCCAGGCTCCAGTGATTCTCCTGCCTCAGCCTCCTGAGTAACTGGGATCACAGGTGTGCACCACCACGCCTGGCTAACTTTTTTGTTTTTAGTAGAGATAGGTTTTGTTATGTTGGCCAGCTGCTCTTGAAGCCCTGATCTCAAGTGATCCACCTGCTTTGACTTTCCAAAGTGCTGGCGTTATAGGTGTGAGCCACCACGCCTGACCAGCTCGGTATCACTTTGGACATGTCACATTACCTGCCTTGGGCCCTTGATGTCTCTGCTGCAAAATAAGGACATGGGCTGAGATGGTTTCCATTTATGATTGTTTAGCAGGGGACCAGCAAGAAACCAGGAATCCTCTTAATGAGTTACGAGATCCTCTGCTGACTCCCTCTCAAATCCCTGTATCAACAGTGGGTATGAGATGGCCATAGAGAATAGCAGCTTCCTGGAATTATTTTGGCTCGTAGGTACAGAGATTACATGTGTAATCAAAAACTGCTGGACAGAAACAGTCCTGGGTGTGTCCAGGTGTTTGCCTCTGTTTCATTTCTTATTAAATGGAGGAGATACAGCAGGATTGTTAAGACTGCAGGCAATGTCTGTAAAATGCAAACATGCCAGGTTTTTGGTGAATGGTAGCTATTGCCCTTTCCCCTAAATCAGTTAAGATAAAGAAAAGATTTTGCTTTATACAGTTCCTCATTCCCCTCCCTGCCACCCTCTCCCGCAAAAAAAAAAAAAAAAAATCCTAGAGGAAAAAATAGGAACTAACGAGATTTCTCAGATATATTGATCGCAACTAGATGTTTTGTACTAGATACGGCTGAAATAAATTTGTAAGTTCATTGAGCTAAAAACAACTTTGAGATAAAATAATAAGATATGAAGTAATAATTCACGTTTAGCAGTGTTGCTTTAGGCTAATTGCTTATTCAAAGTGATATCATAGCAAGTTACAGGCCATACCTCAGGAAACAACATAATAATGTTAGATACTTCAGTGGGTAGTGGTTAAAATCTGAGGCCCTGGGGTCAGATGGCTCTGGGATTCAGACTCAGTTCCTCTTTAGTAGGTGTGCAATTTTAGCTAATTGTCTGAACCTTAGAAAGCCTCAATTTCTTCATCTGTAAAATAGAGATAAAAATACTATTCACCTCATAAGGCTATTGTGAGGATAAAATTTGATCATGAACTTAAAGCCTCTGATCACTAGGAACATAACAGGCCTTGTTCTTAATGATAAGAACCACCAATTTTGGATAAAATCACATGAAATGTGACATAGTTTGAAAGAATGTGTCTGTGGATACAGCTTCCATTGTTTGAAGTGATACTTATGTAGGGGTTCTTCCATACATAGTACAGTAAATAGGTCAACAATAAAAATGTTGTTACCCTAACAGATGCAATGTATTAATATTATGTCACCTTTTGCATACTTTCTTTTAATCCTTCGGCACTTTTCAGCGATGCGTATCCAAAGGCATGGAATTGATAAATTTGAGTTTAATGTTTTTCTGTATAGCTTGCTTGAATATACAAACCCCTTTGGGGCACCCACTCACTATCTTAGTCTTAGAGTTTCTTCTCATATTTACCACATTCCTGCCAACTTGGATATTTTCTTTTCAGATTGCCTTGACAATCATAGAATAACTGTTGTCATACTTTTTTTTTTTTTAATCTCTCAGTTGGGAGAGTCATTTCACTCCTTTGTGACATAATAGGAAATAAATGCTGAGGGCCAGGTGTGGTGGCTCAGCCTGTAATCTGAGTACTTTGGGTGGCTGAGGTGGGAGGATTTCTTGAGGCCAGGAGTATGAGACCAGCCTAGGCAACATAGCCAGACCCCGTCTCCATTTTTTTTTTTTTTTTTTGATATTGTCTCACTCTGTCTCCCAGGCTGGAGTGCAGTGGCATGATCTCAGCTCACTGCAACCTCGCCTCTCAAGTTCAAGTGATTCTTCTGCCACAGCCTCCAGAGTAGTTGGGACTACAGGCGCATGCCACCACGCCTGGCTAATTTTTGTATTTTTAGTAGACATGGGGTTTCGCCGTGTTGGCCAAGCTGGTCTCAAATTCAAAACTCCTGGCCTTGGGTGATCTGCCCGCCTTGGCCTCCCAAAGTGCTGGGATTACAGGTGTGAGGCACCATGCCTGGCTTGTTTTTTTTTTAAGCTGAGTACAAAAGGTACAATAAGATGAATCTAGCTAGGGTGACTAAATGTACTGACAGTGCTGTGTATGGATAGAGAGGCTTCAAGTTCTGAGTTGTTTCAGTATTGCCTTTAAGTATCTTTTCGCAAGTGCTCGGGGAAGCCTGATATGAAAGGGCAACAGGCTGTGAACTGAGATGAGCTTGGTTCAGACTCTAACCTTCCCTTGTTAGCTGAGAGTCCTCAGACCAGTCAGGTGCTCTCCCTTCATCTCAGTCCCCTCATCTGTGAAGTGTGGTCAGTACTTATTGGCAGTTGTCATGAAGATTGGAGATAGCACGAGGCCTCAGGAACAGTGGCTGGTGCCTAGCTCTTATGTCTAGGAGCCGACTCATGGAGCAGGAAGGTGAGTACACACATACACATTATGAAGGGGAATACGACAGGTCCTCCCTAAGAAATAGAAACAAAGCTTTAGGAACCTAGTAGAGAGAGCGATGTTTTCTGACTGGGGGAATGCAGGTTGGTTTCATAGAAGAGTTTGAGCTGGGCCTGGAAAGAATAGGATATGAATAAGCTGGGATAGGAAGGACCATTCCAAATGGAAGCAAAAATGTGGCCCGAAGCTGGAGAGCTCTGCTGTCTGACTCTGGAGCCTGCTTCTTGTGCTGTAGCCTCAGGCCTGGCCCCTGTGACCATCCCCACAGTGTCCTCAGTGGTCCTTCTGCCTTCAGTGTCACCATGGTTGATGTGCACATGCTAGGATTTTGATTAGATGGTGTCAAACCCACATAGCCATGTCATGGTTTTTCTGTAGTTTCTGTGTCTGCGTTTCAGTACAGGTGGTGGTAGATTAAATAATGGGTTAATTTTACTGAGAGGTACCTAAGGTTCATAAGATACCTTCCTCCCACTGGGAGCCCTTCTGCTTTCCGCTCAACCCCTTCCCTTTAACCAAACCAGAAAATCATGGTTAGGAAATCAGCCTGACTCAGTTTGCACTTCAGATCCTTTGAAATATTTTCCCTACCTAAGGCTCGTCCATAAATAGTTTGGTCATTCAAAAACACTCAAGGTCGTTGTAGTACTCAGAGTGCTATTACAGAGAGAGAGAGCTCATTTCCTCTTCCCTGTCTGCACTTAATGAGACAGGTATTTTAAGTCCCTTTTCTAGAAAATGGCTAAGATTGTGGTGCTACAACTTGATGCTGTTTTGAGAACAAAAACAAAACAGTGTAAAATCAAGGTACAGAAACTTAACACATTCTCTAAGGACCATCAGCAATGAAATGAGGCCAAGTAAACAGTGTGTGTTTGTGTTTGTATGGAAGGCTGGGACCCAGTCTTAAAATGGTGCATTATCTTTTTATGAAAATCGAAAGGAAGAGATAGTGTTAACTGGCGCATTGTCTTTTTTTTTTTTTTTTTTTTGAGTTGGAGTTTCGCTCTTGTTGCTCAGGCTGGAGTGCAATGGCACCATCTTGGCTCACTGCAACCTTCGCCTCCTGGGTTCAAGTGATTCTTCTGCCTCAGCCTCTCAGGTAGCTGGGATTACAGGCATGCACCACCACATCTGGTGAATTTTGTGTTTTTAGTAGAGATGGGAGATGGGATTTTACCGTGTTGGCCAGGCTGGTCTCGTACTCCTGACCTTAGGTGATCCACCCGCTTCAGCCTCCCAAAGTGCTGGGATTACAGGCGTGAGCCACTGCACCTGCTGCACTGTCGTTTTCTGAAAACTGAAAGGAAGAGATAGTATTAACTTCTGAGCTCAACAAAGAGACAATATGAAATAATGAATTTTCATAACGGGGCACTTACCACCTGTCATTTGATGTAATCTGGTTCAGATTGGAGTACTAGGGGACTCCTGTGTGTCTTTGTGGGCTGCCAGGGAGTGAGTTCCAATGGCGATACTATCTTTTTTCCATTTTGAGTTGTACTTTATTTAGTGGGATTCATATTATGAATGGGGTTGGTTTGATCAGAAAATATGTCACGGTCATCAATAGCAAATGAGAATGAACTCAGATCCTTTTTTCACTTACAGAGTTTATACACTTACTTTAGATTCTTCTGGCATTCTATGAGTTTATTAATTCTTGTTTCTCCAGGACATATATAAAGAAAGAAAATGATAAGTTAGGGAGGTCAATGGACTTGCTTGTCATGGAGATTGCAATGTGCCATTTGCTTTGTCTCCCTGGCTTTGTCAGAGTAGAGACAAGGAAAGGACACCTTGATCTGTAAGAAGGCCATCTCTGTACCATCCTGGGTTGATGCTTATTGAGTTCAATCAACACCCAGCAGTCTTCTCCACACTTTGTCTATGCCAGGATCTGTCTAGTGATAATTATAGGCCATCCAAGTGAAGATTTCTAATATAATGTCATGTCACTTAAAGCTGATCATTATCCTGTTATTTTCAGGGATGTTCTTGTCATTTTTTAAAAAAAATACTATGCTTTGGCAACTTCTTAAATAATTTTTATATATAACTTTGGCTAGATTCTCAAGTAAAACTTGTTATCCTTATTAGCTTTATTTTTTTGGGGGTGGGGGGTTCTTGCATGGAACTAGAGTACTCATTGCAGCCAATCTGTGCTATGTTTCATGGGCACTCTGCTCCTTTCCCTTTGGCTTTTCCTGGCCAGGCTGCTCTTTCTGCTCTTATTTTTTGCATGGTTTTGTCTGTCAGCCTATTGTGGTGCCTTAAGCATCACCGTGAAGACATTCTTCTCTGAGAATGGAAAGCTGAGGCAAAAGTCAGCAAAATGGCTCATGAAGACACAGCTTTTCCTTAAAAAGTCCCATGGCTTTATGCTGCCAGCCCTCACAGTTGGGTCTCTAGCACAGACCTCTAGACTCGCTTATCCAGCAGCAAGTCACGATTGCCGGTCAGCATTTCAGTTTGGCCATAATCAAGCTCTTGATTTTACCTCTTAAATCTGCACCCCTCATTTCCCCCAGCGCAGTAAATGCTAACCCTGTTCTTCCCTCGTCTTATAACAAAACCAATGCAGCCCGCCTCTTTTTCTATCACAACCCACACCCATGTCATCAGCAGGTCCTATGGGTGCTACCTTCAAAATGTGTTCAGCACGTGACCACTTACATTCACTTCTCCGCTCCCCACTCTGGTCCAAGCTACTGTTGTTTCTTGTCTTGATTATTGCCTTGATCTTGTCCTTCCTCCTGTTTCCCTGGGTGTGAGACCTTGGCCCCTCTTGCCTCTGTCTCTGCCTTCCCCTGCCACTGTCTTGCGCTCACAGTTCTGGTGGCCTCTGTGCTGCTCTTCTGTGAAGACCCCAGGCATGCATTGCCCCGTGGCTTTTGCACTTGCTCATTCCTCTATGTGGAGCACTCTCCTTGTAGTCTGTGCCAGCCACTCCATCCGCTGACTCGTCTCTGCTCAGACCCCCTCGGTCAGAGCCCTTGCCAACCTCCCTGTATAAAGTGGACTTTCCCTCTGTCACTTTCTGTCTCCCTAAGCCAGCTTGCTTTTCCTTCTTAGCACTTATCACCTCTTGCATTTGTGTCAATCTTTTATTGTCAGGTCACTCACTGTGGAAACTCTTTCACTGCCGAATTCACATGGAGTTGGTACTCAAAAAATTTCTGTTAAAATGGCTCAGTGCCTAAATGCTATGAAAAACTACAGCATTATAATAGATAACTTGCCCGGACAGTGTATTGCATAGGTTCAAAGTTACAATTTAGTTACTGTGAAATATATCCATTGCTGTTGATCAAATACATGTATATTTCTGAAGCACTCATGTCCAAAGTTTAGGATAACAGAGGGAGATCGTGTTTAAGTCTTTTTCCCTCCTTCTTTCCTTTGTCCATATAGGATTTACAGCTGTTGGAGGATGGCGATCTGACCGTGATAGGAGACCGGGGAACCACACTGAGTGGAGGGCAGAAAGCGCGGGTCAACCTTGCAAGGTAAGTTGCGTTCCAGCAGCCACCATGCAGGTGTCTTTTGTGCTGCTACTTCTGGTGGTGGTGAACACGTAGGGCCCGCTTACTGTGTATTGGGTCCTGTGTGAAGCACCTTCTTGGATTATTCCATTAGCACTTGAATTAATATCCAGTTGTTGAAAGTTTTCATGATCCTAGGTGACAGTCTGACATCTCTTTATATTTTCTAGAGCAGTGTATCAAGACGCTGACATCTATCTCCTGGACGATCCTCTCAGCGCAGTAGATGCGGAAGTTAGCAGGCACCTGTTCGAGTTGTGAGTTTGTGTCTTAAGTCATTTCTGCTTTCCCAGAGCCATTTCGAGTTGGCTCAGGAAAGCCTTTGTGGCTTTCAGCGTGTCCTGCTCTGTTGTCCCTCCACTGTCCCCTGCTTCCCTGAAGATCCATTTTAGAGAAATTTTGCATAAATACAAGATCGAGGTAGGAAAAGGTGATTTCAGTGTGTTGCAGTGAGTGGACTGTATATATATATATATATATATATATATATATATATATATATATATAAATAAATATAAAATGTTTTAGGGAGTTGAGAAACAGAAATTTTTTAAGTTTTCCCCGACTAGTTAGTAGTTACAGCTGATAACCAAGAAACTGCTGCTGGACCAGGCCCTGGAGATAGGAAAGACGGTGTGCCATTTGTCAGTGGAAGGGTGGCACTTGGCAACCTGGGCCTTGTCTTTCGGCTCTGGCCCTCCATCACTGATCTATGACAAGTTGGAAGTGAGGCCCTTGGGGCTGGGCGTGGTGGCTCACGCCTGTAACCCTAGCACTTTGGGAGGCCGAGTCGGGCGAATTACGAGGTCAGTAGATCGAGACCATTCTGGCCAACATGGTGAAACCCTGTCTCTACTAAAATACAAAAAAACCAGCCGGACGTGATGGCATGCACCTGTTGTCCCAGCTATTCGGGAGGCTGAAGCAGGGGGATTGCTTGAACCCAGGAGGTGGAGGTTGCAGTGAGCCAAGATTGTGCCACTGCACCCCAGCCTGGTGACAGGGCGAGACTCCATCTCAAACAAACAAACAAAAACAGAAGTGAGGTCCTTGGGACCAACATAAGGCTTTCTTGGCAAGGCTTTGTTGCTCTTTGCATATTAATCTATCAGTTTAAAGATAACCTACTAGTAAAATCTAGAATTTAATAAATATTTGTTCCATCGTATACTGTGGTTTCAAGAATCTAATTGCTTCATGGATTCTTACCAGACTGAACACTTAAGACCTGCAGACATGTAGGCCTGGTCTGCCTTTGAAACTAGTTGCCTAGAATCTGGCTTCCCTCCCAACTCTTATGTGGTGTTTCTAGGATTTGCTTTCTTTGGCTTTTGCGTAGACACTGAGCCATGGAGGTAGGAATCTTTTCTGTGCATTCTGTAACCTCATGTGTGCCGACGGACACTTCCTATGTAGTCTAGACTGGCCTTTTCGAAAGCATTGTGAACCAGTTTTGTTAAAGCAGCACCCACATCTGCCCCATAGCCAGCTTCCTGTTGTGTGCCTTGTTAAGGCCAATGAGCCTTTCCCACTCATTGTAGCCCTTCTGGGCACACTGAGGTAGCTGCTGCTGCAGGTGTTACTGCATAGAACGTCTTTGCTTGCAAAAGAGGGCAGTCAGCCGTGGAGAAGATAAGCATCCATGCTGGGCTGAGTGAGCGAGAGAGAGACAAGTTCAGATCTCATTCTTGCCCATAAAGAATTGTCTCTGCACGGATTCAAGACTAAGTGCATGGGAAAAGTTCAGCAGACCCCAAGGCTTAGGGGATTTCAATATAGGACAACCTATTGTATTATTATTTTTTTTTTTTGGAAATAGGGTCTCGCTGTATTACCCAGCTCACTGCAGCCTTGACCTCCTGGGCTCAAGGGATTCTCCTGCCTCCACCTGCCGGGTAGCTGTGACTATAGGCTCACATCACCATGCCCAGCTCATTTTGCGTTTTTTGAAGGGAGGGGGCTTCGCCATGTTGTCCAGGCTGGTCTCGAACTCCTGGGCTCAAGGGATCCATCCCCCTTGGCTTCCTGGAGTGCTGGGGTTACTGGTATGAGTGCGCCTGGCTTAGGACAATCAATTATTTTAAATGGAAGCAGTGGGCAGCTGAGGTTGGAAAGGTCATGGAGGGCCGGGCTTGGCTGGAATAGCCTGTGTCCTGCAGGCAGGTAAGGGTTTGTAGGGGCTGAGAGTAGGATAAAGAAATAGTAGACACAGAGGTGTGGAGACGGGGAGAAGTGAGCCTGTGGGAAGGACAGCAGCCAGGCCCCTGTTCCTCTGGCGGGGGATAGAGAAGGGACCGTGAGAGAAAGCTGTTTGGACCTGCTCGCTGGGAGTCCTATGTTGGCCAGCCAGGGCTGCTCTCACAAAACGCCACAGGCCGGGAGAGCTTACACAGCGGCAGGTTGTGTCACACAGTTCTGGAAGCTGCACGTGCGAGATCAAGGCGTCTGCAGATGCGGCTTCTCCCGAGGGCTTTGCTGGCATGCTGATGGCCGCCCTCTCGCCCTTTCCTCCTTATGTATCTGCGTCCAAACCTCCTCTTCCTGAAAAGACACCAGTCAGAGTGGAGCAGGGCCCACCCTCATGGCCTCATTTTAGCGTCATTGCCTCTCTAAAGGTCCTGTGTCGGCCTGGCACTGGGGTTCATGTCTGTAATGCTAGCACTTTGGGAGGCCGAGGCAGGCAGATCACCTGAGGTTAGGAGTTCGAGACCAGCCTGGCCAATGTGGTGAAACCCCATCTCTACTAAAAATACAAACATCAGCCGGGCGTGGAGCGGGGCACCTGTAATCCCCTCTACTCAGGAGGCTGAGACAGGATAATCGGTTGAACCCAGGAGAGGGAGAATTGCAGTGAGACAAGATCGCGCCATTGCACTCCAGCCTGGGTGACAAGAGCGAGATTCCATCTCAAAAGTAAAAAAAAAATAAAGGTCCTGTGTCTAAATTCTAAGGTGCTGTGGTGATGGCTGGAACATATGAACTTTGAGGGGAACATGGTTCAGTCCATAACAGTTCTTGGATAGCAAAGTAGAGAGAGATTCAGGCGGAGTTGGCTGTGTGAGAATAACTCATCTCTGGGCTCTGCATTTCAGGGGTTTGGACATGAAGTCATCCACCGAGCATGGTGCTCTGTGTGGGTTCCTGCATATTTCCCCACCAGAGTGCTTATGCAAAATGTACCTGGTGTGTGATGATGAAGAAGTAGATGTGGATGGTGGTGATGTTTGCACAACAGTGTGAATGTACTTAGTACGACCAAGCTGTCCATTTAAAAATGGTATAAATGGTCTGGGCATGGTGGCTCACGTCTGTAATCCCAGCACTTTGGGAGGCCGAGGCAGGCGGATCACCTCAGGTCGGGGATTTGAGACCAGCCTGACCAACATGGAGAAAACCTGTCTCTACTAAAATACAAAATTAGCCAGGCCCGATGGCTCATGCCTGTAATCCCAGCTACTCGGGAGGCTGAGGCAGGAGAATCGCTTGAACCCGGGAGGTAGAGGTTGCAGTGAGCTGAGATCGCACCATTGCACTCCAACCTGGGTAACAAGAGTGAAACTTTAATATACCAAAAAAAAAAAAAAAGGTATAAACGGTAAATGTTACATCATGTCTGTTTTTCCACAACCAAAAACATGTGGATGGAAGCATTGAATCTTTCTGAATGCAGAGCACGGGATCAGCTGGCGCTTGGTGCTGCCCCCACACTCTGATCGGAGCCTCGTGTCCTGCTCCCTCCTCATTTTGCCTTGATGAATTTTCTATTTGGTCGAGAAGGGCCTCTGTGACTTGCTTGAGTCCTAAGTGAGTCCCCACTAGTTCTCTATCACTCAAACAACAATTCCCGGTGGGACACTGTTTTAGAGTCACCGGCAGGGAAGGAGAAAGATATTTTCATTGCTGAGTATCAGTGTGCATATCGCACAAGCTCTCCCAGATTTTCCTTTGAACACGGGAGGTATTTATAAAGTCCTCTTGCACCTTTAAGGTTTAATGACTTTGGATATACACTTGTTAGAAGCAAGCTTGTTAAAATTGTTGTTTGCTAATCAGAATCACATTCTTTGGGGAAACTTAGGGCAGGGAGCACGAATGCAATTTAGGAAATCATTCAGCAGCAACTGGAGAATGTTCTCAACGATTTAGAAAATTGGATCGAACAATATGCTATGAAAGATGGCGGTTGTGTTGAAGCTTAGAAATGTAAAGCGTTTTGTATTAAAAGTGAATGAATTACACTTCCATTTGCCATTAACAGTTTTACTTTAATCATGAATATCTATCGAGAGTTGTGAAGAGTTGTGTTTTACATGATATGTTGCAAACATGAGGTGGATTTTATCGCATACAAAAGTGAGGGGCACTTAGATGAAGGGATGCTAATCTGATTTGCTGCCTGCCATAGATGTGCTTGTATTCTAGAAAGCCTCAGATTCAGACCCCTGCCTCTTTGAGTCTCCTAATCAGTTCCCAAACTGTGGCCTACCTATTTGTCTCAGTCCATTCAGGCCGCTCATTCAAAATAGCATAAACTAGTTACTCCATATAAACAACAGAAAATGGTTTCTACACTTCTAGAGGCCAAGATCCCAGATCAAGGCGCCAGCAGTTTTGGTGTCTGGAGAGGGTTCACGCTCTGGTTCATAGATGGCTGTCTTCTCACTGTGTCCTCAGGTGGTGGAAGGGGTCTGGCAGCTTCCCTGGGCTGGCCCCTTTTACTAATACCATTCGTGTTGGCAGACTCTCATGAAATGGGCCTCACCTCCTAATACGTTCGTGCTGAGGGTTCGGTAGGAGTTCGGCGAGGGCCAGTAACATGCAGGCACAGCCCTAGTTCACCCTCCCTGTTTCAGCTCCTCCTGGGACTCCCGTACTTTTAAGCTACATTCTAAGTCCTCGAATGGCAAATGGCCCTTTGCTGTCCACCCCATTCACCTTTCCAGCCCTTGCCCAGGCAAGCCTGGTCCTCCAGCCATGCAGACTTCTGTGGGGTGCCTGGAAGGAGACATGACTTTCTCAGGTCTGCCTGTCTGTAAGGGCATTGTTCCTGCTGGGATAGTACACCTGGGCAAAAGAGAAAAATGAAAGACAGAGATCTTACCTCCTGCCTTTCTCTTCTGCTCCACGTTGGCCATGGCGCGGTCTGTCCACAACCCTCAGTGCTGCCCTTGATCCACCTATGTGTCCTTCCCCAGCCCCCGCGCTAGACTGTGAATGCACAAAGGCACCTTTGCACAGTGCACTGGTGCCCCAGGACCATTGCATCTGCTGTATCTGCCAGGAATGCCTCCCCCAGATATTCTCGTGACTCATACATCACCTCCTTGCAGAGAGGCCTTTCCTCGCCACTCCCTCTAAAGTACAGCTTTCTCCTGGCTGTCTCTTCATGGTTTACATTACTACACGATAGTTTATTTTCTATGTTTGTGTAGTGAGTGTCCCCTACATGATGCAGGGTGTTGTCCGTTTGCTGGACCAGTAGATGTATTCTTTGCACTTAGAGTAGTCCTTGGTACATCATAAGTGCTCAGCAAATGTGTCTTGACCAAATAAATGAAGGTAGTGACTGTATCTGTGCCTTCCTCCTTCCCTTTCTTTCTCCCTCCCACCCTCCTTCCCTCTCTTCCTTTCTTTCTTTCTTTCTTCCTCCCTCCCTTCCTTTCTTAACAGAGTTTTGCTCTGTTACCCACGCTGGAATGCAATGGCACAATCACGGCCCACTGCAACTTCTACCTCCTGGGCTCAAGTGATCCTTCTGAGTAGCAGGGACGACAATTGCACACCACCACACCCAGCTAAGTTTCTGTTTTTTGTAGACATGGGGTCTCTCTGTGCTGCTCAGACTGGCCTTGGACTCCTGGGCCCAAAAGGTCCTCCTGCCTTGGCCTACCAAAGTACTGGGATTAGAGGTGTGAGCCACTGCACCCAGCCGACTGTATTTTTCTCATCTGTGTCACCTCTGACATTGTATATGTCAGCCCTTTTTTTTTGAGACAGAGTCTCACTCTGTCACCCAGGCTGGAGTGCAGTGGCATGATCTCAGATCACTGCAGGCCTCCTGGGTACAAGCGATTCTTGTGCCTTAGCCACTTGAGTAGCTGGGATTACAGGCATGCGCCACCACATCCAGCTAATTTTTGTATTTGCAGTAGAGACAGTATTTCACCATGTTGACCAGGCTGGTCTTGAACTCCTGGCCCCAAGTGATCCATCTGCCTCAGCCTCCCAAAGTGCTGGAATTATAGGCGTCAGCCCCTGTGCCTGGCCTCTTAATGTAGTCTTTATATAGGATAAGAGTTAAATAGCTTGTTGCTAAATCAATCGCTTATTATTTGTTTGTTTTATGGCATGACTGGAAGACTTTTACTCTTAAAAATTTGGAAAGTATTTTTTGAGATTTGCATAAGAATAATTTAGAAAAAATTTCAAGCCATCAATTACAATATTAGTGTAATCATTTATATTATCTTATCTACAATGGAATATGTTAGGACAAAAACATTTTGAAACCTTTGAGGTGGCTGTAACTGGATGGGAATAGCACCCCATCAGATTTGATTGTTAACATCTCCGTTTACGTATGTATATAAAGGGATTAATGGCAGGCAATTTCGAAATAAAGGGAAACAGTTTCATTAAAAGCTTTAGGTACTAAACCTGAAGAGGGATATACCAGGTTGAGAAACATGGGTTTAAAATAAGCCAAACCTAAGACATGTGAAAGGGGAAAAATTAGCCAAACTAAGATACGTGAAAGGGGAAAAATTAATCCCTTTGGATGTCAAGGATGAAGTGTTAGTTTCCATATCTGCAGTCTGGAATTGTGGTTCTGCACAGGCTCTGTCTCTAAAATACCTGCTTCTGACTTCTCAATCCTGAATTTCTAGAAGTAAATGGCTGCATGTGGGTTAAAGGGAAGATTGGAGAGCCGGCCTAATACTTAACTAAGCATGAGTTATGTTCTGGGCCATTGTTACAGTTTAATGCTTTTATTTATTTATTTATTCATTTTTTTTTCTTTTTGAGACAGGGTGTCACTCTGTCAACCAGGCTAGAGTACAGTGGCCTGATCACAGCTCACTGCAGCATCAACCTCCTGGGCTCAAGTGATCCTCCCACCTTAGCCTCCCTTGTAGCTGGGACTACAGGTGTGCACCACCACACCCGGCTAATTTTTTTGTTGTTTTGTATTTTTTTTATAGCAATGGGGTTTCACTATATTGCTCAGGCTGGTCTTGATCTCCTAAACTAAAGCTATCCACCTTCCTTGGCCTCCTAAAGTTCAGGGTTTGCAGGCGTAAGCCACTGTGCCTAGCCCATGCTTTTATTTCTTAGAATGTGTTTATGAGTTCAACGAGGTTAAGTAACTCACCAACATTGTCAGGCCAGTAAGAGGTAGAGCAGGGATTTGAACTCCAGACTGTTTCTCCAGAACTCTGGCTCTGACCCACCTTAACAGGTTGTGCCATTGCCGTGTTGCAGATGAAAGCTCTATGCAAGGACTTGGGAACAAAGCAGGGATGGTAGGAGCCCTGCCTGTGGTCCTCAGGCTCCATACGGGGCGCCTCGGTTACTTGGAAACACTGCAGACCCTTGTGGGTTGGAGGCTGGACTGAGCTCCGAGGGTGCTATGTTTACAATGTGGGAGAACTTTGGGGGGTACTGTAGAAAACAACCCCAGAAAACGACGGTTGAAGATGAGGTGGGTCTTATCTTTTGAGCCACATGGTTTGGACTGTTTGGATTCTGTTCTTTCACTTTCTTATTCAGACTGTTTAGGACTAATGAGAGAAGTTGTGCGTCCTGGATGAGGCCAGGAATACTGAGGAGGGTCATGCGTCACTAGCATTCGTTTTCCTATCTAGTATTATTTGGGAAGAAGAGTCTGGAAAATGCACTCTGGCAAAGGTTACCAAGAACCTAAGCCTTTCGGTGGGGGGTGTTAATATGTATCTTATAAATTATTACCTAAGAAACTATCTAAGAAAAATGCCCCATCATTGGCTGGGCGCGGTGGCTCACGCCTGTAATCCTAGCACCTTGGAGGCCGAGGTGTGCAGATTGCCTGAGCTCAGGAGTTCACGACCAGCCTGGGCAACACGGTGAAACCCCATCTCTACTAAAATACAGAAAATTAGCCAGGCATGGTGGTATGCGCCTGTAGTCCCAGCTACTTGGGAGGCTGAGGCAGGAGAATTGCTTGAACCTGGGAGGCGGAGGTTGCAATGAGCCGAGATCGTGCCACTGCACTCCAGCCTGGGTGACAGAGCCAGACTCCATCCCCCACACCCCCAAAAAAGGAAAGAAAAATGCCACATTGTTACATGACCTCGATCTTTCTTTCTCCCCTGCAATTCTACACAGCAGTAAAATAATTAGTGTTTTTGTTAAGTCATGTTTTTGAATCTCCCTGTTGTTCAGTCATTTTTCATCATGGAGTATGTAACTATTAAACTAAGTTTTAGAAAAAAAAATTACACTCATTGCCTCTTTCCCAGACTACTTTTCAGGATTTCTTCACAGCAAGGCTCTGAGGACCTAGCAGGTTGTATTGGTTTATATTTGTGTTTAGTTTGTATTTAACCTTCAGATCTTTGACTACTGTGCTGTCTTTGTCTGACTATGGTTTCTAAATGAATGTTTTTCAATGTGGAGCACCCCTATTCATGTGTTTTTTTCACCCTGTGCCTTTTACATTTATAGGTGTATTTGTCAAACTTTGCATGAGAAGATCACAATTTTAGTGACGCATCAGTTGCAGTACCTCAAAGCTGCAAGTCAGATTCTGATATTGAAAGATGTAAGTAGTTTCTAAAGGTCTCCCGAAATTGCAAGTACTCAGGTGTGTTGAATCCCATTCTTCTTCCTCCATTTCATGTACCTTTATTCTCAGAGTGGGATTCATATTTTTGAGTATTAACTCAAAAGACTTGTAGAAATGTCACTATGACATGCCAAACCTTATTACCATAAAGTATATAAAATTGCTACCTCACGGTTACTATATTGTTAAAGATAGTGATGTTATTTTAACTTAGAACTTTTTGTTTACTTCTTCCATGACTTCATTCAAATTATATTATTTGGAAATTACAGATACTAAGACCGGTTTGCCTGATTTTCATGCATAGTTTGCCTAAAGATCCTCTTCTATGAATAGCAGAAACGGCTGAGCGCGGTGGCTCACGCCTGTAATTCCAGCACTTTGGGAGGCTGAGGCAGGCGGATCACCTGAGGTCAGGAGTTTGAGACCAGCCTGTCCAACATGGTGAAACCCCATCTCTAGTTAAAAATATAAAAAATTAGCTGGGCATGGTGGCTTATGCCTGTAGTCCCAGCTGCTGGGAAGGCTGAGGAAGAGAATCACTTGAACCTGGGAGGTGGAGGTTGTAGTGTGCCAAGATCACGCCATTGCACTCCAGCCTGGGTGACAGAGCGAGACTCTGTCTCAAAATAAATAAATAAAATAAAATAATAATAGCAGAAACACAGTTGGATAACAGAGCATCCCCTAATTACAGCACCCACGTTCCTGGAATAGCCAGTGGCTAGTGTCACTGCACAGGAATTTTTGACTGCCTGATATGTACGGGAGCCGGTATAGATGTAAGTAAGACAATGTGCTTGCCATTGTCAGGCTGCCATTCTTCCTGGAGATGGATGCAAGGAAGGAGATGGAGGGGTGAGGTTGCCTTGCTGGGACTTGAGTGATGTGAAGGTGCTGACCATGCAGTCACCTGGGGGCGGGGCATCTGAGGCCAGGGACTGGCAGTGGGATCCTAAAGCTGGAAGTTACCTGGTGTGCTTATAGGAACATCAAGGGGCAGTGTGGCTGGAGCGGAGCAAGCCAGGGAGAGCCTGGAGGAAGGCGGGCTCAGAGCAGTGGTCATCAGCCCTAGAATTAGGACAGAGGCTACTGGACATGGTTTGATCTGTGATTTTAAGACATCCTAACTGGGCACAGTGGCTCATGCCTGTAATCCTAGCACTTTGGAAGGCTGAGGCGGGTGGATGATCTGAGGTTAGGAGTTCCAGACCAGCCTGGCCAACATGGAGAAACCCCATCTCTACTAAAAATACAAAATTAGCTGGGCATGGTGGTGCATGCCTGTAATCCCAGCTACTTGGGAGGCTGAAGCAGGAGAATCACTTGAACCTGGGAAGCGGAGGTTGTAGTGAGCCGAGATCACGCTATTGAACTCCATTCTGGGCAACAAGAGTGAAACTCCGTCTCAGAAAAAAAAAAAAAAAAAAAAAAAAAAAAAAGGTCCCCTTTGTTGTTTGCCGGAGGAGCTACAGCAGAAGTAACTTGAAGTCTTAGAAGTTCACAAGACAGACATAAGGGCATAGTCTCGTGTATCAGTTTCCTAGGACTGTCAGACCAAAGTACTACACATTTGGCGGCTTAAGGCAACAGAAATTTGTTGTCTCACTGTTCTGAGGTTGCAAGGCCAAAATCAAGGTGTCCGCAGGGTCATGCTCGCTCTGAAGGCTACAGGGGAGAATCCTTCCTCGCCTCTTCCACCTTCTGGAGTTTTGCTGGCACTCACTGTTGATCCTTGGCTGGCAGGGCAGCCCTTCAGTCTCTGCCTGTGTTGTCACATGGCGTTGTGGCTTTGTCTGTCTGGCTTCCTGTAAGGACATCATTCATTGGACCCGGGGCCCACCGTACCCCAGCTTGTCTTGATTGCATCTGCAAAGATTCTGTTTCAAAAAAGGCCACATTCACAGGTAACAAGATTTAAGACTTGAACATGTCTTTTTAGGGGGTCACCATTCAACCCACAAGAGCTAGCATGGCCGGCCTCAGTACCCCGGTCCTTAACCCTTGTCTGTTCCAGGCTCTGGTCAAATCCCTCATTGTAGGCCTGAAATCCCCTTAGTGTCTTCCAATGTTTTAATGTTTCTCTTCCCACAATTTCTTCAGTAAATGATGGAAATAATAAAAATGAGTGTTAATTATATTTCATAAGATCTGTGTGCACCATTCTTCGAGGGAGATAAATTTCACATTATTGCAACAAATGGGGCATATGATGATAGCAAAGCTCTTGCAAGTCTTCCTGTGTGTGTAAGCCCCTCCTTGCTGCTTCAAGAACAGTGAGGAATCTGTCCGCTGAAGTCCTAGCAAGTGAATTCTCACCCTTAAGAGGATTATCGAAGGCAGAACTGCTGTCTCTTCAGAAGCAGTTCCGTGTGCCGGCTCTTTCCAACTCTCCCAGGGATAGGGAGCCCAGGTTCCTCAAACTTAAAAACAATTCATTTCTTACGTAGAGGGCTGAGACTAGTGTGGCAAAACCTGAATGCTGGTACATTAGAGTAAATTCTGTGAGTGGTAGAATAACCTTTCTCCAAACAACCATTGGCCAGGTGCGGTGGCTCATGCCTGTAATCCCAGCAATTTTGGAGGTGGAGGTGGCCGGGGGTGGGGAATCACGTGAGGTCAGGGGTTCGAGACCAGCCTGGCCAAGATCGTAAAAACCTGTCTGTACCAAAAATACAAAAAAATTAGCTGGGCATGGTGGTGCGTGCCTGTGATCCCAGCTACTCAGGAGCCTGAGGCAGAAGAATCATTTGAACCCGGGAGGTGAAGGTTGCAGTGAGCCAAGATCATGTCATTGCACTCCAGCCTGAGCAACAGAGTGAGACCCTGCCCCCTACACACACACATACACACACAGTTTTTCCACTGGTGGGCACTCAGGATAAATGTGCATCCATTCTTGCTGTCCACCCAGCCCCTGCCCTAACAGCAGACAGAGCATGGTTGCCCCTCAGAACCCACTCTGCATTGCTCGTCAGTACTTGGCTTCTGAGGCAAATTGCTATCTCGGTACCAGTGGGAGTTTCCTTGTGTGTCTTACAGATGCTATGTGAAAAGTGGCCATTTCATCAAGCTAGTTATGTCATTTTCACCTCCTATGCAGAAGACACAGTGTATCATGAAGCATTTTTGAATTCTCCAGTTAATCAAACTGATCCACAGGGTCCAAGGTGTCATTGGATTTTCCTCAGTGGACCCACCTGTTGGGGGTGGGAGGATTGGGGTAGCAGGGAGGGTCCTGGCCACCTTCCCCACCTGACCTGCTTTAGCCAGGAGCTGCTCTCCTTTAATTTTGTATGCTGGGAGTTTGCCTAACATTCTGTTTGCTGCTGTCTGAGGAAATCAGTTGGGTCTCATTTCCTGGGGTACACAAATAGTGAAGATATTTGTAGATGATTTCCTATGGTTTTGTAAAGAGAGAAAACTGTACAGGGAGGTGTCCCATGGAATGTCGAATTTTCAGTTAGGAACTCCCCGAATCTGTGGGGCAGTTTTATTTATTTATTTATTTTTATTTTTAAATTTATTTTTGAGATGGAGTTTTGCTCTTGTCGCCCAGGCTGCTCGCTCTGTGCTCACTGCAACCTCTGCCTACTGGGTTCAAGCGATTCTCCTGCCTCAGTCTCCTGAGTAGCTGGGATTACAGGTGCCCAGCTAACTTTTTTGTATTTTTAGTAGAGGTAGGGTTTCATCATGTTGTCCAGACTGGTCTTGAACTCCTGACCTCAGGTGATCCACCCACCTTGGCCTTCCAAACTGCTGGTGTTATAGGTGTGAGCTACCATACCTGGCCTGTGGGGCAAGTTTAGAGTAAAGACCATGAGGGTGCAGCTTATGGGGTCTGTGTCCAAGGCTGGTTCCCACACACCTTGTTCCAGCAGGGCACATGGCCCATGGCCAGTGGAGGCTTGTGGGGTGCTTCCTACTTATGCAGATATGCCTGTTCCTACCTCCCTGTCAGTGTTCGGTTTCTTTCCTGGAATATCCTTCTAAATTTACTCATTCCTTCAATTCTTATTGCATAAGGCTTATATCAGTTTTCATGTTCTGTAACAAGACTCCCAATACGGTCACCAACATCTATGTGACAATGATCACCATTTCCAACACACTATTACCCATTTTAAAAATATTCCCCAGCACCTAACATGGGGTTTGGCTGAGCACAGAGCACTCAGTTGTGTATCAAGTTGAATTGTATTAGATTGTCAACTAGGATTCCGGACCCAAGTATAATCATAACTTAAGGTCAGTTACCTTCTCTGGATTAGAATTAGATTATGTTAACATTATCACCTGCAAATGTATCTCTCTGAAATTCTTTATTTTTATTTTAGGGTAAAATGGTACAGAAGGGTACTTACACCGAGTTTCTGAAATCTGGGCTAGATTTTGGCTCCCTTTTAAAGAAGGACAATGAGGAAGGTGAACAGCTTCCAGTTCCAGAAACTCCCACACTGAGGAATCGTACCTTCTCAGAGTCTTCGGTTTGGTCTCAGCAGTCTTCTAGACCCTCCTTGAAAGATGGTGCTCTGGAGAGCCAAGATGTGAGTTCACCTCCTGGTAGGACATGGCCTGGTTTTGTTGACTCTTAATGGCCTCATGGATCTTTGGTCTACTCTGTTCAAAGCATCATCCTTTGTCCCAAAGTAGATTCTGTGGTTCCAAGGCCTTGTTCATGATATTGGCAGATTAAAACAGAACCAAGGCAAACAACCCTGGTTGGAGTTATCCTTTGCATGTAGGCTGGGGAATGTCATGGAGATGAGTACTGGGTGTGTATGCTGGTGCAAGTCCCAAGCTGTATGTGACTCACACTGATACTGCAAGTCTTTAATTTACTCTAGCGAAATCCTGCTTTGTCTGGTGGCCCCTACTTCTCTTTGCATCCAGAGGCATAATTTGAAGACCCCCTTAGACAAAGTCATGCTGTGGGCCACATGAGATTAGCCACTTTTCCTATATGTTGGAATGTTTTGATGTTGCAGGTGGATGATGGAGGTATTTTGCTCTGTTGTCAGATGGTTTATGTTAATGCAGAAGTAGCACATGCAGTGACCCAACAGCTCCTGACACACAGCAGCCCATCTTCCTTCTTTTTTAAAACAATTTTTTTTTAATTATTATACTTTTAAGTTCTGGGGTACACGTGCAGAACGTGCAGGTTTGTTATGTAGGTATACATGTGACATGGTGGTTTGTTGCAGCCATCCCTCCATCATCTACATTAGGCATTTCTCCTAATGCTGTCCCTCCCCAATCCCCAGACCCCATGCTATCCCTCCCCTATACCTCCCACCTTCCGACAGGCCCCAGTGTGTGTTGTTCCCGTCCCTATTTCCCTGTGTTCTCATTGTTCAACACCCATTTATGAGTGAGAACATGCAGTGTTTTGTTTTCTGTTCTTGTGTCAGTTTGCTGAGAGTGATGGTTTCCAGCTTCATCCATGTCCCTGCACCTTCCTTCTTTACCTTTCAAGAGTAGGAGCTGTATCTTATTCGACTTGGCATTCCCAGTGGTCAGCATAGAACTGCTCAGTACATCCTCAGAATATGTGAATCTCATGCATTTTAAGTCCTCCAGGCAGAAATGTACCAGAGCTCACTTAAAAACATATTCCTTGCCATACAGTCCCTCACTATCCAAATCCAGGAGCCTGAAGGATCCTTGCAGATATTCAGATTAGGCCCTCATATGCCAAATTCTCAGGAGTCAATTTCCATAACTCAGGAACCAAATAGATTAGGATCATATACTATCCCTTACTTTCCAAATATGGTTACTCAGACTCACTGCTTGACCCCAGTTACTGTATTGAGCTTGAGTTTTGACCCTCTGCTGTTTTGTGTTTCCATCTTGAGTCATGCAGTTGAGAGTTCCATGTCTTTTTGTATATGATTTTGGAACAAGTTTCTCCATTTACCCTTGAATTTGGCTGTGCTAGGTAAGTGCTGGACATCCTAATGTCATCCTTCCAGGTGGCCACGCCACAATATACAAATGATATTTCCTTATCTCTAGTAGAACCCTGAAAATGAGATGGCTGGGTCCAAGGATAAGTTCATGTAGCTAGGCGTGGTGGCTCACGCCTGTAATCCCAGCACTTTGGGAAGCTGAGGTGGCCAAATCACCTGAGGTCAGGAGCTCCAGACCAGCCTGGCCAACATGGTGAAACCCCATCTCTACTAGAAAAATACAAAAATTAGCCAGGGTGGTGACAGGCACCTGTAATACCAGCTACTCAGGAGGCTAAGGCAGGAGAATCACTTGAACTCAGGAGGCGGAGGTTGCAGTGAGCCAAGATTACACCGCTACACTCCAGCCTGGGCGACACGCACAAAACTTCATCTCAATCAATCAATCAATAAATACATGTACAGTTTGGCTAGATATTTCCACACTCTTCTCCACAGGAGATGGATCATTTTCGACTTCCGCCTGCTTCCCCACAGCTTTGTCAACAGAGGGCATTGTCATCTTTGGATACGGTTTTGTATACTGTTTTGTCTCTTACCACCTTTTCTCCTTTGCAGACAGAGAATGTCCCAGCTGCACTCTCAGAGGAGAACCGTTCTGAAGGAAAAGTTGGTTTTAAGGCCTATAAGAATTACTTCAGAGCTGGTGCTCACTGGATGGTCATCATTTTCCTCGTTCTCTTAAACGCTGCAGCTCAGGTAAATAATGACATTTGTTTTGTGCCCTCAAAATGATATTTACAGTACCTATATTTATGCTATTATGACTGCATCTTGCAGTTCCCTTGGGGTCTGCATTGAAATGTGCTGTCTTTGGGGAACAAAGTGAGGGCTGCCTATTGGTGTTGGATGTCTGCTACAAAGACCTTCTGGGGAAAACAGGGTATCTTTCAATGATTTTAAAATGGAATATGCATTTTTTTGAGCTCTTGATATCTGGGAGTTTGGGCTCAGCACAGGCCTGGTCTGGAAGAACTATGCAAGTTCTCCTCAGGCCTTTGTTTCTTTCCTTCTTTTTTTTTTGAAATAGAGTTTTGCTCTGTTGCCCAGGCTGGAGTGCAGTGGTGCGATCTTGGCTCACTGCAGCCTCCATCTCCCAGGTTCAAGCAATTCTCCTGACTTAGCCTTTTGGGTAGCTAGGATTACAGGCATGTGCCACCATGCCAGGTTAGGCTAATTTTTGTATTTTTAGTAGAGATGGGGTTTCGCTATGTCGGCCAGGCTGGCCTCGAACTCCTGGCCTTAAGTTGATCTGTCCACCTCAGCCTCCCTAAGTGCTGGGATTACAGACCTGAGCCACTGCACCCGGCTTTGAGCCTTTCTTTCTATTGTCCATGTTAGCAATGAAGAGTTTTAAGCTGGTAAGTCATGCCAAAGTTTGACTTTTGTCATCATTGTTTCTCTCCTCCTAGGTTGCCTATGTTCTTCAAGATTGGTGGCTTTCATACTGGTAAGTTATTTCTGGTCTGATCTATGAAATACTCAAAAATCACTAAGAAGACTCAGTTTTCCATAGAGTAGGGGGAGAGGGTGGCATTCGTTGATCCTTCTCTTCTAATCCTCAGTTTACCCAAAGAAAAATTAGAGTGCTTGCTGGTGGAGTGTAACCTGCAGACATGGGTGTAGACATGTCTCCACCCATGTCTGATCCTCAGCATCATGTTCACAGGCAGTTTCGGGAGCTGAAAGTCGTCATTTAAATTGAATTTTTATAAGGTAGATACACACAGGACTATGTGAGCTGAGAATCATTTTCCAGCATGAAGCATTTCTCCCAAATTGAGGTTCATTTTTTAAAAAATGTGTTTATCTAGATTCCATCGATACCTTAATTTTTTTTTCTCCCCGTGTTCCATAGGGCAAACAAACAAAGTATGCTAAATGACACTATAAATGGAGGAGGAAATGTAACCGAGAAGCTAGATCTTAACTGGTACTTAGGAATTTATTCAGGTAAAGTTTAATCATTTGGTCTATTATATGAGAGGCTGAGGTGCTTACAATGAGCCTGTGTGAGTAACTAGAGCTTCCAGGAGTAATTCAGTAATGTCTTAACAGATTAGGAGTCTCAGTCGCATTTACTCTGTGAATTAATTAGAATAATTATTTTAAAAATCAACTAGAAGAAAGAGGTTGAATGAAGACTCTTAATTTGCTCTGTACTGGATTTTGAAAGTTAAACCAGGATTGAGCATTCAGAAAATCAGCCACTGGAAATATGTGGCTATTGTCTATTCTAATAGGTTGCTTTAGCTAAATCTTATATCATTATACGGGTGGGCAGGGGGATTAGAAACGGATCCCCACCCTGTGGTTCGGATTGTTCCAATTCTGTCTAAATAAACCCTGGCTTTTATTGAACTTGGATGAAATCCTCTGGCAGCAAGGCCCCCAAAATAAAAGCATTATTCCCTCCCAGGTATGCAAAGCTCCCTTCAGCACTGCTCATCTCTTGGGCTTCACTAATTACTTAAGAGGGAAGCTGAGCAGGGAAAAATCCAGTGTCTGGGAATTAGGACGCCTTCTATTTCTTACCTTGAGATCACAATGTTATCACGTCCCCAACTGTGTGATTAATTTAACATTTGGCTTGCCAGACTAATATTAACGCCATACTCTGTTTTCACAAGAGTGCTTAGAATGTATGTGGCATTACATAGTGTTTCAAGGAAATCCTCATCTAAAATTTTAAATATTTCCACGGGAAATGCTCATATAAGCTTTCCTCAGAGATAGAATGAGTTGTCTTTGTAAGAACCTACTCAGTGAAATTTGGTATTGATTTCATCAATCGCTTGCTAATAAATCTAAATCCATTGGATGTTTACCTTCCAAATTGGCAGACTCTGTGAAAACTAAAGGAAGAAGGAAATCGGTTCTATTACATGCTCGTGTAGGACGGGAGGCTACAGATAATGCCTGCTGATGGAGTTAGGAATTTGAGCTGCTTTCAGAGGTTAAATAAAAGTGACATGTCAACTGAAAGGGAGATATTTGTTATAGAAGTAACCCCCCACTGTACTGAGCATTGCGAGTTAAGAGATGTTAGGAAAGCTCTTTTAATTTCTGTGTGAATAATGGATACTCACTCATGTCTCAATAAAAATGTATAATTTATTTTATTCATTTAAAAATGTCTTATGTCTATGTAAAACATGTAGTGGGGGATTAGTTGCTTATTTAGATTAATTATCTTATGTTAAAATATGATTTGTGTTTTCTTGCAATTCAATTATTCAAGAGGTTTTCCACATGCAACTTAATATGGTATTTTTAAATTCTTTAAAGCTACTTGGGCATTTTCTACAAGGAAAAGGTAAATCATTTCTCCTATTCCTTGTTAATATCACCTGTTGGTATCAAAGCATACCACCTTTTTTAGATTACGGGACATAATGTAAATAATAAGATTTGGAATATGGAGAAGATCAGCTACATTTCATGATTATCTGTCTTCTGAGTTGTTAAAAGAACTTGCAATTGAATTGGGAAAGCCTAGAATGAAATTGTATTATACATCTGATTTTTCTTTTCTGGGCAGTTTCTATTCAGTGAAAGAAAAATAAACTATTTTAATTCTTCTTTGTCAATGCATTTTGTAAATATGTTATACTTTTATGGAATCCAGATGTTTTACGAATAAAATAAGTAATATTTTTATACACTACCTGACTTGCTTTAGCACTGTTGAAGAAAATGCAGAGATATGCTGTGTTCTCTAAGTGATATTTCTTTATTTCAGGTTTAACCGTAGCTACCGTTCTTTTTGGCATAGCAAGATCTCTATTGGTATTCTACGTCCTTGTTAATTCTTCACAAACTTTGCACAACAAAATGTTTGAGTCAATTCTGAAAGCTCCGGTATTATTCTTTGATAGAAATCCAATAGGTAAGTCTGACACCAAGTTTCTCAGTAAATATGTCTTGTTAACAACACATTTAGGATCTGATTACATTTCCGCCTTTGAAAATGGAAGGCGTGCTTGGAAGAAAATCACTGTGCATGTTGATTAATTTTCTACAAGAAGCTTCACTGATATTATTCTACTACCAGAGAAAATCTGAATATGGAGGGGGCATACAATCTTTTATTCCAATTTATATGTGTGTGGAAAAATTAATGTTCACTTTGCAGAATGCTTTAGGAATCCATTTGCTGTGAGGCAAGCAAAGCATCCTGCGTTCCCTGTAAATATGTTTAAATGTAGCTGAATAGTTGCTAAAACATTGGCCGTGTTTACATAGTGTTAGGTTATGCCATTTTTTCAGAAGGATCTTTGTAAGCAGGGATGCTCTGACAGGGTGTGCTCTGAGACAGGCTGTGCATTTCTTTCTTTCGTTGGGAAACCCATTCATTTCTGGAGCCACAGGGTTTTTGTACATACCCTGACTGTGAGGTTTCCCTGTAAGGTAATACGTGGTTAATTAAAAGCCAAGATTGGTAAAATGTAAACCCCCCTTCAAGAAAAGTTTCTAACTCTGTGGTTTTAAAGTAGACTTTCGGTTCTATCATAGAGACTTGGTTGAACCTGCCATGTAGATCTTCTGTAGCTCATTTCCTGGGTATACCCAAGTATGCTCAGTAGTTTCCAAGTGGTTGATGCCTCTGCACTATGGGCTTTTGACCTGTGTTGCTCCTGAGGCCAGCCTCCCTGACCCATGTTCCTATGGAGAGTTAGTTGTGCCTATACACCCTGGTCAGTTGAGTGAACTTGTGGGGAGGCCTGAGTGACATTGTTTGTGCAATGGGAGGTGTCCTCGTAGAGGCAGGGAGGTGTCCTGGAGAGAACACAGGCATAGCTTTGGCCTGGCCATTGACTACCTGTGTGACCAAGGCCAAAGCAGATAGATGCTATTACACAGGCAAATCTCCAAGCAAATGTTGTAGTTCAAAGTGTGGACTCAAGCTAACTGCCTGGGTTCAGTCCTGGTGCTAGTTATAGTTATAGTTGGTATAGTTATAGTTATATAGTATATAGCTTGTTATAGTTACATTCACATTCATGTCCTAGTTACCGAATTTTTCTGTGTCACAGTTTTCTTATCTGTAAAATAGGGATACTATTCATATCCACCAAATTGAAATCTTATGAGAATTAAGCATGTTAATACATTCCTAGTACACGAAACAGTGTCTAGCTACATGGTCATTGCCTAATGAATATCAGTGATGATGAAGCCATGGTATCTCTGAGCGGAATCACCTTAACTGTGGGATGGAAATTACTCCTACCCTTTCTGTTTTACATGAGTTTTGTGAAGATTAAAGAAGACTGTGCTAGAAAGCATCTTGTGTAGATTTATTTAACAAATACTTTTCCGTCCAAGCACCATGCAATGTGCAAGGATTTGTAAACAGCAGAGGCCACACAAACATCAGCCTGATTTCAGCTGTTATTAGAAAATCACTGGAGGACCTCTGCACTATTACAGCTGTAACGTCGCGCCACTTTGCCAGTTAATTTGAAACTACAGTCATAACGTTTGGAGCATTAAGTGGGACTGCATTTCTGTTATCACAGGCCTCGGAATGCTCATGACTACCATTAACCAGCCTCTCCATGTTTGAGACCTGTGGACTTCTCCTCGTGCTGATTTATTTATTATTCAGGGATTTGGGACCCAGTCTAAATCTTGGAGGTCACTAATCTTCCAGTGGCACACGAGGGTTTATCTGGCTTCTTCCACCTATATCTATTAGCACGACTTTATTTCTTCAACAAAACAGAAGCCCAAATAAGTACCCCAAAGAGAGGCCTAGTTTGTCTAAAACGTTTAGAGGCCATGAATTATTTACTTTTTTTAGTGGTAGATTTTGAAAAAATTGTATTGAAAAATTAAAAGATTTTTAATGGTAGAATTAAAATTTTCATTTGGATCAAATTTTTGCACCTTTTATAATGGTGAAGGATACACAAAAGCTGTGAGTTATGCCTCAGAATTCATATTACTGATTGTACGTTAATGGTTTTACATATATATATTTAAATTATTTATTCAGAGATAGGGTTTCACTCTGTTGGCTAGACTGAAGTGCAGTGGCATGATCACGGCTCGCTGTAGCCTTGATTTCCTGGGCTCAAGAGACCTCCTACCTCAGCCTCCCAAGTAGTTGGGAACCACAGGCCTGTGCCACCATGCCCAGCTAATTTTTAAAACTTATTCTATTATATTTTGAAGAAATGGGGTCTCACTATGTTGCCCAGGCTGGTCATGAACTCCTGTGCTCAAGGGACCCTCCTGCCTCTCAGCCTCCCCAAGTGCTGGCAGATTACAGGTGTGAGTGACTGGACCCAGCAGCTTTATAATATAAATAAAGATTTCCCTCTAGGATAGTGAGGTAGGCATGCTCGATTTTTTAGCACTCTTAAATCTATATGTTAAATGTGTATACGTATCTGGCATACTGTTGTGCCCCATAAATTGCAGAGCGTTCTTTGAGTAGGGTAGAGAGACGGGAAAGCATGTCTGAATAGTTAGGTATTGAAAACAAGCTCTTAGAAGAGCCCCAGTGGAGTTTCCTATGAGCTCAGCATCCTGACATTCTCCCAGATTTTAGGGAACTTAGGAAACAGGGAGGACATCTGCCAGCATGTAGCTTCCAGTAAGCTCACCTTGGGATGGCCACTGGCACAGACCCTCTAGGTGACTCACACCAGGGGTCTGGCTGGACATCCCCTAGATCCCTGTCTCCAGTGCCCTTGTGCTGGAATATTCTCAGTGACTTTGATCTGCAGCATCTAAGTGTCTTCTCCATTATCTCATGGCTGCTCCCACCCCAGATATGCCGTCCCCCTCATCATGCTTCTGCCCAGATCCTCATCCGTGTGATCAGGCAGAATGAATGGGCAACCTTGCTGCTGACTCGGAGAACCAGACCATCTGGAAGGGTTCCCGTGGCTGCCCAAGTTCACTTATTTGGATTTAGGGAAAAGAGGAAGGTAACCCTGGAAGGTGCATGTTTCTTCTCGGCAGTGAAGGTTCTGTTTCTAAGAAGGCCACACTTCCCCAAGGTCCAAGACATTAAGTTCCTCTCCATTTCACACCCACCTATGGTTGCTTGAAATATATCTTAGTTTGTTTATATAATACAATACCGTTTATCTACTGGCCTTTCATTAACCTGATCAATCTTAAGCTAGCAGGATAAAATGGGAGCCAAACCAGTGTGCTACCTTAGAATGACAAGAGCCAGTTTTCTTCCTTTTTCTTTTCCTTTCTTCCTTTTTTTTTCTCTTTTTGACAAAGTCTGGCTCTGTTGCCCAGTCTGGAGTGCAGTGGTGTGATCTCAGCTCACTGCAATGTCCTCTTCCCTGGTACAAGCAATTCTCATGCCTCAGTCTCCCGAGTATCTGATATTACAGGTGTCCCCCACCATAACCAGCTGATATTTTGTATTTTTAGTAGAGACCAGGTTTTACCTTCTACTGGTACTGAGATAGCAACTTTCCCCGGAAGCCAAGTACTGACGAGCAATGCAGAGTAGGGTCTGAGGGGCAACCATGCTCTGTCTGCTATGGAGAGGGGGCTGGGCCCACAGCCCGAATGGACACACATTCACCCAGGGTGCCCACCAGTGGACAAATGATTGTGTGTGTGTGTGTGTGTGTGTGTGTGTGTGCGTGTGTGTGTGTGTGTGGTAGAGTCTCGCTCTGTCATCCAGGCGGGAGTGCAGTGCCGCAGTCTCAGTTCACTGCCACCTCCAGCTCCCAGGTTCAAGTGATTATCCTGTCCCAACCTCCCAAGTAGCTGAGATTATAGCATCCATCACCACACCCGGCTAATTTTTGTATTTTTAGTAGAGACAGGGTCTCACCATGCTGGCCAGGCTGGTCTCGAACTCCTGACTTGAGGTAATCCACCCATTTTAGCTTCCCAAAGTGCTGGGATTACAGGCATGAGCCACCGTGTCTGGCCAAGAGCCAGTTTTCCTTTCTTGTGTTTTTAGCCTCCTCTCACCCATTGCTAGTTTTTATTCTTCCCTCCTTTGATGTAGCTTGGTAATGGGATCATGTGAGTCTGGCAAGAAACCTCGCATTTGCAGCTGCCCCCAGATACCTCCTGCATATTTTGATTATGACCTGAGATGAATAGAGCATTTCAGATATTTTCTGACGCTGTTCACTGCATCTACCTCTTCCTAGTCAAAGTTTTTTTGTGTGTCTTAGCCCTGTTTTCATTCCGTTCCAATCATAGTAAGCGGTTAACACAAATTCTAGATCAAGAGTAAGTCTTCAGAAATTAAGAAAGGATTTTTATTTAAAATGTAAATCCTGTTTTCCCGGCATGGGCAGAATTCATTTTGCTTTTGATATCCAGCACAAGAGGGCAGCATGATCTGCAGTATTTCCGTGATATAATGTAAGAATACCTCATTGCAAAACCTGGTTTTTAATTTAAAGCTTTCTTGGAAATTCTAGTTTTATAGCTTGGGTCTTTGTATTTTGATATGTGTTAATATGAAATTTGAAAAGTGATTTTGTGGTGTATTATGTTTGAAACATGAGTGCTTGTGGAAGATATGTACCCGATGTTGCCCTGGAATACCTAGCATTTCAAACAGGGTTTTTTAGATTTCCTAATTACACCTTCTTGACGAGTAACTGGAATAGGCAGACGCTGACATCTTGACTGGTTGGATACATTTTAATTCCTGAAGCATACATTATGATTTGCTTGTATGATGTTTCTGTTTTCTTTGTAAGCATGAGTTTGCAGAGAAAGATAACTACACAGTTAGTTCCTTTAGTTTTCTTCCGTGCCAACAGAGTTAGCAGAGACTTTTTATTCTTATTAGGTCTCTACAATTTCACCCTTTGTTTTGGAGAAACGATGAGAGGTTTGCTGTCCTGTTTTCTCATGCCTAATGGTGGTGACATAACATTTAGC